ATATTTCTCTAATCTTTCTAGATTGCTCGTGTGAAGATTGTTCAAAAGGATCTGATTCTCTGCAGACACTTGGAGAGTGAGAACAGTCGAAGGTACTCTGCCTACACTTGGAGAAGTGTGAAAGGATGAAGGTTCTCTGCCTACACTAGGAGAGTGTGAACAACCGATGATTCTCTGTCGACACTTAGAGGGTTTTAAAGGACGACGATTCTCTGCCGCACCGGGTAGTGGTAGAAGAGAGATTTTGTAAAGGCTTCTCCATCTTTCTTTTGGGGCAAAAGGAGAGATAATTGTGGTAATAATGCAATACCTAAAGTGGGAGACTTCAGGGAGTGGATGTAGGTTGTGTTTGACCGAACCACTATAAATCTTTATCTTTTTATTTCCGCTGCTTATTTTATTTTATTGCACTTTTATTTTTTGTGGTTGAAAAATTGTTTTTTAAAACTTTCTATAAAGAATCCATTGGTTTCAAACTTTTAAAATTCTAATAAGAGGGAAATTTTTTAAATTACCAATTCCCTCCCCTCCCCCTTTGGTTAGCCTTTGGGACATAAGCTTAGATCTAACAACTTAACTCATATTCAAAGAGTTTCAACACCATTAACATTTGCACCTCATATTTGATAGGCTTGGCGAGTATGGCTATAATATTCCTTATTTTCTTCTTATTGACCTAGAATCTTCCCTCACATTCAATTTATAATATATGACTTCCTAACTGATGTCTGAAATCTCTGATGCCATCCAAGCAAAGGCATTAACTCTCCCCTAAGATCCTAAATAAGCCCGCCTTTATGTTCTTCACTGAAGGAATTATTATTCTAAGGAATCTACTAGACTTTCCCTTCACTTCTACGATTTGCATGACAACCTCAACCATTTATGATTTCTTCTAATGAGATCGCCACATTCTTAACTGACATTAGATAGCTGGTGTAGAACAAAGTGAGGTCTCTCCACATAATGATCTCCCTTCATCATGCAGAAATTTGACAACTAGATGATAAGTTGATACAACTTAGAATGTGTTCAATAGAGGACTATCAAAGATGGTAATATATGTGTCTAGAGAGTCTGTTATAATGAAGTCTGCAATGGAAGTATACTACTAGTCACCTTCACCCCATGTGAATAATATGGTGAGTGTTCCTTTTGTCGCTCTTCATTCTTTTGTGAAATCATATAAATGACTTGAATAAGAGTGACTTGACAAAAAAGAGTTTCATCTTTTCAAATAAAGACATAAAGATGATATTAACAGAAATCCCTATGTCTAACAGAATACTACATATATGATAGTTGGTGATAAAGTCAGTGACAATAATGACAACATTATGGGGTTTCAATTTACTGGCTTGCTCATTTCTCTGAAGGTGATAATGGAGATGGATACTATAAGAGATCGTGAGGTAAGCACGGAGTTCACCTCTATGAATTTCATCCATTTTGCAATATCTGGTAAGTTAACTTATTTTTCTTCACATGATGGTAAGCACCACACCATATATATTGAGCGAGATGTGACAGACACGTTGCTACTTCCTTCTATGAGAGCATTTCTCAAGTGCCGACCATTATCGGCAAGTACAAACTCCTTCAACTTGCTAGCTTTGATAAGTTCCTCTAGTAATCCTTATATGTGTGAACATGCCTCCATGTTATGGCCACAATACTTATGGAAAGCACAATACCTGGATGTGGCCCCGACATGTACATTTACCTTCTTAGGCGATGAGCATTTGAGGAATTCTTTGTTTTGAATGACCTCAACTAACTCTACCATGGGCACTATTAATGGAGTGTAGGTGGGATAGTTGGGGGATGGTGTGGAACTTCCTTATGATAGGGGTGACTGGCATGACGAATTTCATCCATTCTTAGTGTGATTGATCTTGCATTCCTCAATGGCCTAGGTTATAGGAGCAATTATTGGTGTTTTGGAAAACAATAATCCCATTGTGGTTTAGGCTTACTACTCATCGCTCATTGAAATGGATTCTTTCTCAATCTCACCCTTGCTGAAAATCCTTCCTCTGTGTTAGATCATAGTAGTGAGTGGTCATGGATGACTCAATTATTTTACTGTACTCTTCATCATTGACATGGCTATTGGACAATTCTAATAGCTCATTAAATGTCATTAGCTGTTGCAAGCTAAGTGTATAACAAAAAAGACCCTCTCTCAACCCTTATGTTAGAGTAGCCTGGGTAATTATAGGCTTCAAATATTTCACTTCAAGTATTTTCCCCTGAAATCTCATTATGAAGCTCCTCAATAATTCTTCACACTCCTATTGCAACATTTGTAGAGCCTGTAAGGTTTTTGTGGCTTTTGGGTATTAGTGAACTACGTTACAAACACTGTTTTAAATTCTAAGAAGGACATGATCACTCTCAATGGCTAGCGAGAGAACTACCTGAATGCCCACTCCTTTAGTATTGTAAAGAACAAGTGGCATTTGAGGTCGTCATTAATTTCAAGGGAAGTCATTGATTCAAAAGTGGTGACGGATCCACTTGGTCAATCCTACCTCTATAGGACTGTTAGAGTGAAACATTGAACCAAGGATGCATCCTATCCACCATGATCTCTCTAAAAGGTGCATTGGAGAATTTAGGCTTGGTTCTTTTGACTCGTTAAACCAATAGGTTAAAGTTTTCGTCACTCAACGTGCAAGTGGGTTTAAGGATAAGTGTTAATGTAACGCTCTACTGTTTGGCCTCTTGTGGCAAGCTACTGATTCAAAGGATCTCTCATGGTGCTCTCACTCTAAGTATGTCTGGGCAACCCCCTACTAGATCATGAATCATTTTGGTTAACCTCACTTCCAACTCCATCATATCTTGATAAGTGTGGATGTTAAGCTCTCCATGTCACTAATAGTTCAAGGTACTAATCTCATCAAGATGGGCTTATTTTATGGTCACTGACATTAATCTACACTCATAAGACATTAAATAAAAATTTATCTGTAGATGACACTTGACCATACTAGCATACAACCTCAAAGAGGGATAACCTAGAAACTTGTGTGAGAATAGAGAGAATTATTCACTAGAGAATAGAGCTCCTAATCTCAATGAGTACAAAAAAATAAAAGATACTACTTTTTCATCTTTTTATTTATAGGAATCCAATGGCTACAAGAAAAAACATATTAAAAGCATAAACACTGCATTGATTTAATGACACATTATATACTACCATTAACATGTCACCTCCTAGCCAAGCTAAAAAGAGAATAGTATTATATAAATTTGATGATATGTATCTAGGCGTGTTTAGTAGTGCCTAGTTGGGTTAGGAAAGTGTTCATGGGCGAGTTCATTGGTGAGTACCAAGTTGATAGAGCCCACAACTAGTAGTCGTCCTGGGTCACCAATGGCATATATTTGATCCTTGAATTACCTTAGAAGGAGGTGAGCGTGTTTTTGTTGCATAGAGGAATAGTTATGATTATAGGGTTACGGTAGGGCAAGCTGAGAGCCTTGTGGATAGATAATTTCCTATAGTTGAGTTTGGCTATCATAAATGACAGCGCTTATCTGCCTTGGATGAGAGCGAGTGGCATTGATGACTAATCTCTTCTTTTGTGGCAAGTGACAAGATACTTGATTTGTGGCAACTCTTCAACAAGCCTGAGTAGATAGGGTCTGATGGTCTTTGAACGAGCTCATTTGTTGGGCCCACTAGGTGCTAGTTCATTCCATCACAACCACCTAACTCCTTTCTAGACACTTGTAAAGATATATACGAGCATACAAAAGAGATTTAAAATTAAAACATTTTAAAAATAGGACAAATCCAAAAAAGCCAATTTTACTGAAAACATATACATATTATTTTGCAGTAATGATATTTAAGGGTATCTTAATTTATTTTATTTATCATCTATTGATAAAATATTAGAGTAAAAGCCTAAAATAGTCCTGCAACTGTTAATAAATGTTCAATTTAATCATAGACTTTCTTGATGACCCAATTTAATCCTCTAATTATTAGAAAATATTTCAGTTTGATCATAAATCCAAAGCAATAGTTAAAATTAACCCCAATAATTAAATATGATAGCATTTTACATATTATGTTATATATGAGATTATATTATATTTTTTTATTTTTTTATTTTTTTCATATTAAAATATAAATACAAAAACTATCATTGAAGTTAACCAACTAAATAACAAGAGTGAATAATTAATAAACATGGTTACCTTCTATAATTATTTATATATTTATTTTAATATGATAAATAATAAAGTACATAAAAAATAATAATATAATCTAACATACACACTAATAATTAAAATGCCCTCATATTTAACTATTCGAATTAACTTTACCTATTATTTTTTATTTTAGAATCAAATTGAGATTTTTTTTTTTAATAATCACATAACTAAATTGAGACATTATAAAATTCTAAGATTAAATTAGACATTTACTAATAGTCGGCAAATTATTTTGAACTTTTACTCTAAAATATTGTAAGAGGTCATGTCATTGCTCTTCTATGATTAACAGTTATGCAAAGAATCAAAAATTTATCTTCTATATAACTACCAGTCATTTAACATAGAACATCCTTCTTCATAATTCTGATTTTTGAATAGTGTAGTTCCATGAAATTTTATAATTTTTATCAGTTTGCCACCCCCATCACTGCCTACCACGGACGCAATGGAAGGAGCTGCCCTTCCCATTCAATAGACAAAAAGTCAAAAACCGTACTTGGCCAGTTCTTTGAAGTTAGCTTGATAATTTGATTCCTTTTAAGTTGAAAATCACGAATTAAATAATCACTACTAAATTATTTCTTTAATTTGCAAGCAACCAAATGACCCCACAGGTAAGAAATCCATCTGATTCAAAACCAATCATAGAAAATTAAAAACGGCCAAAAAAATAATTATATATTCGCTAAGTTTTGAAGCTATTCGTTTTGATATTTTTTAGTAATTTGTAAAAAAATGCTTTCCACTAACTCGCTCTACAATGAGCAACACAGCAAAAAACTACTTTCATACATTCTGTTCAAATTCTATTTACAAATAACCAACAAAACAACCCATCCAACTAATGAAAAACTAAACCTTATGTTTTTTTTTTTTTTCTTAACAGATTAACAAAGCAGACAGCACATGCAATCCAACCGAAATTGTCCCCAAATGGTAGAAACCAAGAAAATTTACACATACCAGCAAAACTCGTGCGACGAACTAAGGTTGCGTTTGGGACGGCTTTTTTACTGCTTCTTAAAACAACTTTATAGTATAAAAATTTTAATTTTTGTACTAAAAAATCGCTTTAAGAAGCAATAAAAAAGCCGTCCCAAACAAAGCTTAAGACTTCAAAAAAAAGAAAAAAATCAGATCTACCTAAGAACACACCTGAACGGAGCATCTTGATTAATAACTCACTCCTGCAACTGTGCAGCTCTACTTGTTAGTGGAACATAACGGACAGATGTATTGGTTTGAATGGTGATAGAGCCATTGAGGTTCTTATCAACCACTTTCAAGTCCTGAAATATGTTTCCAACAGGTATCACCATTCTTCCACCCGGCTTAAGTTGGTCCAGTAATGCTGTAGGAATTTCGCTGGCTGCTGCACCAACATGAATTGCGTCATACGGTGCCAATTCCGGCCAACCGAGCCTTCCATCTGTAAAGCCAACGATAGATCCATGTCATTTAGTCCTATATATATATATATGTGACACTAATCCCAAAAATTTTAAAACTCAGATTTAAATAAGAATATCCTGACCCAATTTTTCTTTCCTTCAAATGCGTCCAGTTCATCCGCATAACGTCTCCTGTTTCACCATATTTCTCCTCACCATCTAATTATGCAAAGTACAACCTGCCTCGTTCTGTCATTTAAACGTATGTTCTATCCAATGATATTTAGCTTCCATTTTTCAATAAGATATTAGAAAGTTGTCTATAATTTCTCTTTTCTATTAAATTCAATATGTTTTTAGGTCTTATAGACTTGTTTTCCAATGACTGCATGATGGATTATTGTTAAAAAAATTTATTTGCAATATGGTAATTTATTTATTAAATTTAGGGTTACATGAATTTTGAAGTTTAGGGCCCGCATGATTATTTTATGCATGTGCTTTGATCGAGTATTATTTATTTAGTTATTTATTTCTTTAATAATTCATGGTAAAATTTCAACCAAAGGCAAGCATCTTTGGTTTTGAGACCCTTATATGACCTATTTTTTTTGCTTTTAATTTCAACTTAATCTTCTATTTCAGCTCCTCACTTTGCTGGATGTCTCTAATATATTATGATTTATATAACCATCTTTATAAACAAACAGGTGTATTGGTAAATACTTGTCTTTTTTTTTTTCTGCCAACTATTAAGGACTTTTTCCCTACTTGCTGCATCAAAAGAAAATAGCAATCTGATAAAAAAACCAAACCGTTGGTTTGGGAGGGAAGAGAGGACAAGGAGAAATGTAGCAGAAATCAATTACCAGATCTTTGTCTAGGGAAATAATAGTTTTGTTTTTATGTTGAATTTTTATTTGAACTTATTCAAAGTTAGTTGTGATATAATTTTAATAAAAATATTAAATTTCATGTAAGCTGATATTTTACTTAAAATTGAAGGCAACTATGCCACATCACCATTATTCAGTCATCAAAGTAGCATGGTGTTAGACCGATCCTCCCTGGACCGGTCCAGCCGGCCCAATCCAGTGGGCCGGTTCGCTTTTACCGAAGAAGGGGGCGGGCAGAACATGAGGCAGAAGCCGCCTGAAGGCTAGAGGTGGGGTCCACTTGAAATTCAAGTTATTTCTTGGAGCCAAAATGAGGGGAAGTGAGGGCAATTAGGTCCTTTTGTATCTATTTTGAATTGTATGCATTAAGTAGGGAGTAATGGGGAGATTTAGGGTTAGGTGATTTTGTTTTGAAGTTTCTCTTGTTCTTCTTGTTGATTTGAGCTCTAGATCGTATTCTAGAGATTGGGAGAGTGCGATCCTCCTCTCGAATAGAGGATCCTTGTATCTTTGCTATTTTCCTTGCATCTATTAGTAAAATACAAGTCGTTTATCCATTTTTCCTGCAGTTTTCTCTGTTTTCTCTCAGTTTTGGGCTGTTTTCCTGCTGTGGACAGCAGTTGTTCTTGAGATCTATTGCCAAAGTATTTCCTATCAAATTGGTATCAGAGCAAGTCTTGGGACAAGTCGTGGGCTGTTTTGATCAATTTCAGCGGTTGAAATTGTATCGGAAAGGGAGAAAATCGCTGAAATTTTTTTCCAGATCTTGAGATCTTCTCCTAAATTGCAAGCCGTAGGAGATGGCGGCTAAGAAGGTGGATGCTTTGGAGGAGAGGATTGAAGGAGAGATAAATCAAATTAAGGAAACCGTAGAAGAAAGAATGTCCTCCATAGAAGGACAAGTGGCCGATCTACGGGATATGATGAAAAAGATGTTGGAGTTTCAAACCCAATCGGCGGCGTCTGATGCAAAAGGGCCCACAGTGAAAAACGCTAACTCTGAAATCCATCGGGAGGAAGAGGAAGTGGAAATCGTGGAAGGGAGTAGGGGAAGACCTCATCTGGAGCCTTTCCAGAGAGAGGAGAGAGGAGGAAGGCATGTGGAAAGACAAGGCTATGGGGGTGGGGAACCCAGAGGGGCTGGTTGGGAGCATCTGGGAGGATTTCAGGGGCGCCGGGAAGCAATTTTTGAAGATCGGAGAGGAGATTTGGAAGAGGGATTGGGACAGGATAGAGCAAGGGAAGATCGGGATACATAGGGGGGTCCAGGCACATGGGAGAGGGGAAACTATGGAGGATTAAGGGGGAATGGCGGGGATCGGAAGGTGAGAAAATTGAAAATGCCAATTTTTGAAGGGGAGGATGCCTATGGGTGGATCTACAAAGTGGAGAGGTACTTTGCTATTAACGGATTGACAGAGGAGGAGAAGTTGTCGGCAGCGGGTTTATGTCTGGAAGGGAAGGCACTCTCTTGGTACATGTGGAGAGATCAGAGGAGACCTATCAGGAGCTGGGGAGAATTCAAGGACAGTTTGTTAGAGCGTTTCCAAACCGATCGGGGAGGAGACTTCTACGAGCAGTTCTTTGCCCTGGTTCAGGAGGGGTCTGTGGCAGACTATCGAGAGAGGTTTGAGCATCTAGCCAGCAGAGTGGAGCGCTTGTCTGAAACGGTGCTGGAGGGCAACTTTATGAAGGGGTTAAAGGCCGAGGTGCGAGCAGCGGTGAAGGTCCTGATGCCCAGGGACCTAGGGGAGGCCATGAAGCTTGCACAGTTGGTCGAAAATCAAAAGAACCTGGAGAAGGGAGCGAAAAGTAGTAGTAGCTCGGGAGGCACTTA